CAATAAAATATTGTAAATATTATATCTGGGATAAATGGCAAAATTCATACCGAAAGTATTTTCTTTCATTGTTGGTTTTTTTAGTTGTTAGTTCTGTTGTTTAGATTAGGAGAATTTAATATAATTTGTAAGTATACGTAATTCTATTGTTTTATAAAATGTGTACGTTATTTCATTGTATTGTGAGATGTATTATTATTTAAGAATAGATTCAACAGTTTTTTTTATATAACCTATTAAAAAGCTTACACGCGTGTGGGGTAAAAACGACTAAAAAAACCTTTACTTTGGCAAAGGCCACAGGAAAGTTAAAGGAAGTAATTTCACTTCAATAATTTCATATAATAACTTATTCGTTATTTGAACTCTGATAATTAATATTTCTAACAAAATAGCATGTTGAGTTTGTAAACAGAGTAAAAAATGTATATATGAAATTTATATTTTGTATTGGTTGAATAATGTTGCTATTATTTCGTAAAGCGCCTTTAACCCTCCGTCGGTCGGTGTGGTCTGGCCAGACTTTTCGACTTCAATATGACAAAAAAACTTTTAGTAATCCTATCAACTTGAAATTTCTGGACTTTTCCTAAAATTTCATTAGCTGACGATCAATGAAAAAATCTGGACAAAAAAGTGTGTGGTCCAGCCAGACTACACCGACCGTTTGAAGATAAATAAATATCCGACCAACGGAGGGTTAAAATTTAAAATAAGACATTGGACCTACCCCCTGGTCATCCCATTTTACCCAGCCTATGAGGTAAAAAGATGTCAAAACTAAATGTGTTATAAATATAGTCATTCTCTTCATTATAACTCCATTCAATAGAAGGAACTACAACACATAACGTTAATTCATTTAAATCATTTAAATTTAAAATATTTATTTATTATTCTTTACACCAAAATTAAAAAGACTTAAACAATTATCTCCAATTAACTTGATACATTAAATTCACTTAGGTAAATGCTATCTACAACTATATTTAATTATTGTCAATCAAAATAACTCATAAAATGTAACTGATTCTGATTGTTATTAATAACAGAAATTTAAAAAAATAACTAGTTGGTATTGGTATTTTGCCTTCAGACAAGCTACATTTACAATATGTGTAAATAATCGACTCAATCAATGAAATATAAATTAATTTATATTTAAAGGAAGGAGTGATTAAAAGTATTCCGAGTGAATTTATTACACATAATTGAAAACGAACGTACACGTTAACTCGGAGTATTTTCTAAAAGCAAATTTTCACAAATCAATATTTTTTATAATCGAACCAGTTTTTGTAGGACTTTAATCGTTTAGTATGTTTATTAAGTCCAAGTACTCTATCTTTATACCAAGTAATTTTAATTATAACAAACGTCAAAAAAAACTACTCATTTTCTCAAACTTTGAATTTTTAAAATTAAACGACTTGTCGTAGGGCCGTAATATTTTAGTATGATCTATGAGACTACGGTATCTACCGTCAAAAAATCATAAAAATTGTCAAAAAAAATCTTTTTCAACTCTTTATTACAAGAAAAAGACCCGGACGATCTTTACCAAAAACTAATCAGGTTGATTCCCAAGCAATACATTTGAATTTTTAAAATCGATTCAGAATTGCGGGCTGAACAAAAAACGTGGACGAAAAATTTTTCACTTTTCTGCTGTTTATAAAGAAACGGTTTGGCCGGTCGTCGAATGTCTTAATTTTTTTAAATCGGTCCAGCCGTTTTTCAGAAAACGTCGATACACGACAAAAAAATCTGTTCACACATACAAATTTGGCCTCATTCGATTCAGAATGGCTTGAAACGTCGAGAAAACATACAATTAGCGAATCGGATTTTTTGATGAAAACATAAACTTCTTCTTCGGGAAGTTAAACATTATTTATTGGAAATAATTGATACGATGTAGAATAAAATATTCTGAAATTGTACTAATAAATAAGCTGCTACTGATAAATTAACTCTGAATAACGAGATAAACTTGCATTATCACTTACACGCCTATAATTATCAATCTATCCCTTATTCGCTTCCTTTCCCCTACCGAAGTGAAAATTCTGATCCACCGCCTAAAAGACGACAACCTGAACCACTGGACCACTGCGGAACTACAATCGGTTTTCTTTTGCATATCCTTGTATTACCTTAATATTAATTTCGATTAATTAGTAAATGAACCAATGGAACCAATAGTGCGTCCCATAATATATCATTAATCGGGTAACTTATTCGGGATGGTTATCTGCCCTTTACTACCAAATATGTGTCACTATATTTATAACATATTTAGTTTTGACACTTTAAAGTAGGGTGGGGCACAAAAGTCCAGTTTCCAAACTTTATGCAATTATATTGTGAAAACCAAATAAATCACAACAAATGATATATATCAAACAAACAATCATCTGACTATTTTTGATAAAAACTTATCTAATTCATCATTTTAGAAATGAGTTTTTTTTACTGTTTTTCTAAAATTTGTCACCAGGTCCTTTTTACCTCATAGGCTAGGTAAAAAGGACCCAGCCGCTAGGTAAAATTCAAATTTCAATATTTGCGTAAATAAAATAAATTTTAAATATTGGATTTGTGTCTTCTGTGACCAGAGTCTTCACTAATATCCGTCAGACCATTATTAACACCGCCCGCATTAAATACAGGGATTCGCTTTCTCATCGTATTCCATTTCATATATCGTGACTCGTGTTGATAACAATAAGTGGGTGTCAAATAAATTTCGTACATGCGAATAACGTGTATTTGTTAATACTCGACATTAAAACAGGGTTCAAGGATTTATCGCTCACAAATGCTCTTAAAGGAGCTATAAACTTTTGTTTTCGTCTTCAAAGTTAATTCATTCGAATGATTTTGTTTTATTATTATGTTTATGGTAAATGATTAAAAATGTTTATTAAATTTTAATATTGTTGTTGTTTTATACATATTTTTCATAAGCATTGAAACAGTTCAATTTTGCTGTTGTAAAAGATATTACATTTTCACTTTTATTAATGTGGTAAAATTCTATATCTCTATATAAATATCATTTTGCAAAGTTTTCATATTGTTCTATATATTAATATAGGCTTTCATTTTGCAATATATATTCAAACTATATAATTGTTTACTTGGTTATATATAGTTTTGTATGATGAAATGTGTATTTTAGGAAAAATATTGTAGAGTATAGTGGAGCTTAAAGGTACAATAAAGTTAGGAATTTTTAAGAAGTAGAGAGAAAATAATGTATTCCAGCCATAACCTTGATTCTAATGTTGTAAGCACTGTTGTTTAGTTTACAAGACATTAATATAATTATTAAGTATACATTATTTAAATGTACTATAAAATTTAAGTTAGATTCTATAGTTTTTTTTGTAAGCTTTATGGAAGCTTGCATGTGGGTGGGGTAGAAAGGACCATCTGAACCTTTACCCTGGAAAAATACGTAAAAATTAATCAATAGCAAATAAAAAGTAAATTAGGTTGAAAAAAGCTTCACAAAAGATAAGCAACATCGATAGTTATTTTAACTCTGGTGATGAATATTTCTGACAAAATATCAAATCAACGGTATGTGCAGTATTATCTCTGTAAAAAAAGCATTCGTTAAATTTAAAGTTTGTATTGGTTGAATAATGTAACTAATATTTCGTTAAATCTCTTTAAAGTTGAAAATAAGACATAGGACCCGTCCCAAATTTTTGAAAAAAAAAACACAAAAAAAATTTCTATAGTGATAATTTAGTTTGGAGTTTTACTGAACATAGTCAGATAGTTGTTTGTTTCGAATGTGTTGAAATTTGTTATGATATAATTTTTGATTGATTTAGTTTTTACAATATAATTGATCAAAGTCAAATAGGATCTTTGTGCCCCGCGCTACCCTATATAATATAAATAAAATAAAAACATGAACTATATAAGAACGTGATATAATTCATATCTATATAATTTAAATTTTAAACTATATTCAGTGTAGAATACTTGCTTTATTTTTTGTATAATAAATAAAATTTAATTCATAAAAAATATTATTATAAAATTGTATATAATAGTTTATATTAGTAATATAATAGAAACTCATTCATTATTTGATGAAGTAAAAAAATAAACTACGTATATTTTTATAATAATTAATCATATTAACCTGCCTATAATAAGTTTAGTACAATCAAATAAGAAAAAGAGGCAAAAAATATATCATGTTTTCTTCTAAAATAAATGGTTGTCTGCCCGGAGGCAGATCCATGCTAGCTCTTCTATATTTAATTATATTTAGGAGAAAATGTTACTTGATTTTCGTGAGGCGTAAATGAGAGACTTCAATAATATGTAATTTTGGTATTTTCTATTTAGCTCAGTTTAAAAATGCAGGATACTTGAATTTGCGAGAATGACAAATAATACATACTTATTTCTTTTTACTTAATTTAACAATGATGATATAGCAAAACAAAAATGCAAAATTATTTTAAAGTAATTTCAAGCAAAGAGCTAACAAAAATAACTATTTTATATAATAATTACTTTTGTACATTTATTTTAACTCACAAAATTAGTTATTATTTTGATTACAAATAATTGACAAGCGCTTTTAGTTACATACCGCGAAGAATAATATAAAATAGTAGCAAAATATGATTCGTCTGATATATCAAAGCTCAATATTCAAACTTTAACATAAAATTGTTAAATGTCATATTTATTGAAAAATTGCGTTTCCGTGCTATTCATGCTATCATACAACACATGTCCTATGACATAAAATTTATATATAGCTAAATGTCAAGGAAACGTCAAACCTACTAAAGAAAAATGACCATAGCCTCACACTAGTCTACGATTTATATTTCTCGCAAAGTTGTTCCGCAAAAAAACTTGATTGTAAAGATTGCCCCTTTTCAGTGTACATAAAGTTTTGTGCTCTATATTACTAGAGGTCAATACACAAGTGACATACATGTTTTCGATTCTTTTTGCAGATATCTGGCACCAGGCTGGCATCCCCATCCCCAAGGCACTCTGTCCAGAACCACAGTCCCAAAGGTGAGTCCGCTTGAAAAATGGTCGTGGGTATAGGATTCTAGTGGCTTTGTGTCATGGCCATGAAATATATATATGTTTGTTTCCGTAAAAAATGATATGCGGTTGTGTATTCTAGACAAGAATTTTAATGGTACCTCAGTGATCTGGGATTTGATACTTAGCAAAGTTTTATATATATATATATATATATATATATATATATTATTTAAGTTCAAAAGTCGGGCGTTACATAAATGAAAAATAGTACGAAAGTTTTAGAAATTTATTTAAAATCCATAGGTTTCGACTCCCATCTCAGCCTTCATTCAGTGGCAATCAATATACCTATAAGAATTAAAACTAACAATAATAAAAAACACTTACAAATTTGTATCCTAATATAAGGGATAAAAATATTGTTAGTCCATTGTATGAGTAGTATATGCACTGTGCTATAGTAGCAGATTAACATCACAAATGGCAAATCATACAAAGAAACATGATTAACTTTTAATAAGTTGTCAAAACTATGTATTAACTATTTGAAGTTTAGGATAGAAATCTTACGTTTTTTCTGAAGCAGTTGTTCTTAATATTTATGTTCAAATTTTACGAGAAAGTAATAGAATCGAACCTCTAACGCACCTGTTTTAAACTCAAATAAAATATGTTACATCAATATCAAATTCACAAAAAAGTATAGACGTGAATGTATAGTAGGTCCTACTATATTACAACTATATGTAAACTATTTTTAACTTTCTTAGTTTTAAATTTATTGAAAGTTATGATATATATTACTTTTAATAATATTAAACGAAAACTGAAGAGAGAAATGTAAGCACGTCATTTAACTCTTTCGAAAGATTAATTTCTGAATCAATTTTACATACGATAGCGTGAATTAATAAAAACGTTATTTTAAACATAATAGTTTATATTAAGAAATTCGCTCAACGATACAATACTTCTTTAAAAAATGCATCACACCCTGAATTGCTGTTCAACAAAACACAATGACCAGATTTTTTCTTTCCAATATCATATATTGTTGTTATAATATTGAGAGTAGGGCAGGGCAGGGCAAATTATATTGTGAAAACGAAACCAATTATTGCACAAAAATCAAACGAGCAACTGTCTATGTTCAATAGGAATCCCTGATAATTTATCATAGTAGAAATGATTTTTTTTAAATTATAAGCCCTTTTCAAAAAATTATTGCTAATACGCTATATACGGGGTAAGATGATATGGCAAGATGCAAATAGGCCCAATGTCTTATTTTTAATTTTAAAGGGATTTCGCGAAATAATAGCTACATTATCTCAACAATGCAAAATATAAATTTCATCGATTCCTTTTTTACCGAAATAACACTATACATAACCTTGATCTGATATTTTTTCAGAAAAATTCATCGTGTGTACGAGTATTTTTTTCAAATTCTAATTATTTTCGAAGACACAGCTGTCTGATCATGATGATATTCTTCTGTTTCCTTCCTTTTTCGAAGCTGTAAACGCGTTTTTTTCAAAACTGTCTTTTTCAATACGATGCACACGATTTCTAGACTTCTATTGAACCGATTTACTTAAATTTTCCAGAGAAACTTTTTTGTAGACAGTTCTCTGTTATAGACCCCCATTCCCAAATTTCAATTGTTGCTACTTTTAAAAAAATCGAGAAACTCAAAAAGTGGTAAGAAAAATGATACTTTTTTCTCAAACAGCCACCATTATTTTGTTAAAATTCTAGTTGATCTTTATCCTTTCTTTTTGCTTGTTCCTGGTATATACCATTGCGACTTCATTCTTGATTAATAATCTTGTTTTTTCGTTTCGGATTACTTTGAGGGCTGAAATCGTGGGCAAGATCACGTGTCAATTTTTTACTTGTTTCTGTACTCTTGTGGTAAACTTTAATTGGCTATGTTTTACAATTATGTAAAAATGACCCAAAATTCATGCCTTCACACTAGAATACCACCATAAGTTACAACTGTTTCTATAACATATTTTTCGAGAACGAAAGTGAGCATTTTTTTGTGAGAATGAAATATATATAATAAAGAGTAAATAGAAAATATGAACAGTGAATAACTAAATGAGTTGAAGAATTTTGAAAAAGATGTACATATTATTATAGAATATTATAATAATAATTAAATAAGTAATAGCAGTGAAACCAAAACTAAATGTAATTAATATTAGAAAAAAAAAAGAAATATATTTTAAATTGGTTTTTATCGAATGACAGCATGAACAACATCGATTGATAAATAATCATTTTTATTATATCGTTTCCAGGCTCACCGGCAATGACAGTCTCAATAGGCCAATCATCGGGCGGTCCTCCACCGAGCCCTTCGCATTCATCGGGGTCCGATACCGATCTGCTGACGTCCGCCTCCACCGCCCTACGAAGGCTAAACTTCAAAGCGGCGCGTCACGCCCGCAATAACAAACCCAATGTGCCAAAGGTATGGAAAAATGTAATTGCAAAACGTAATGGTTTATTTTTTGACGATCAGATTCATACACTTTTTTTGTTTATTATTAATTGTCGAGTGATTCTCGTAAAAGCTCTATTTTCATGCCATTTTTGTCGAAAGAAGATATTTATATCTATATTAGTTATACAATCCAAAAGGTAATAGTATTGACCTTGAAAAAATATCTCGCGTGCAATCTATAGAGCTTTAGTGCAATTTTGACCAGTCATAATTAGTCAATTTTTTTAAAGATAATAATTATCAAGTATTTTTTCATTCTACAATCCTGATCATATGCGCTACTTTTTAATAAAACTTGCCAAAACTATCCTGAAAAAAAATAGAAAGAAAATATCTCGCGTTATTAGGAAATTATGGGCTTTTAAGTGCAATCTAGAGCTTTAGTGCAATTTTGACCAGTCATAATTAGTCAATTTTTTTAAGAATAATAATTAAGTATTTTATCATTCCTGATAAAACACTTAAATTAATTCCTGATATTTTAACAATCCTGATCATATGCGCCAACTCTTAATAAAACTTGCCTAACTATCATGAAAAAATTAGAAAAAAAAATATTTCGCGTTGTGTGGAAGTTATGGGCTTTTATGTATAATCTAGAGCTTTAGTGAAATTATGACAAGTGATAAATAGTAGAAATATTCTTTATAATAATAATTATCGAGTATTTTACTATTTTACAATCTTGATTATATGCGCCAACTTTTGATAAAACATGCCAACACACTTTAGGACATTTTTTTAAAAAAAACAAGAGGGCTTCTAAAAGTCGACAGATCTTCAAGCTTTTAATTCCACAGTTTAACAAAAAGGGTTTAACAAATACTTAAGAAAATTGTGTCTTGTGGCCATAGAAATATTATTCACGGTTACGGTTCCTGAATTTGAACAAACAAAATTAATAAAAAAAAAAACACTATAACCGAAAAATGATCCTAATTTCACCAAAGCTCTAGGTTGCACTTAAAAGCTCATAATTTACAAATAACTTGAAATATTTTTTTTCTGTTTTTTTTTCAGGACACATAAGGTCAATATTATTACCTTTTTTGGTTTGATATTAAATTCTGAGATACCCTATATAACATAATACTTTGGTTGAACTAGCATTAATAAATTTGTAGTTCAATATAAAGTTGAATAAAATTTTTACGAGAACCGTTTATTTAATTTAAAATATAATTAATGTCGTTTGTTACAAATTAAAATGTCTTGTGAACAATGTATTTTCTATACGGGTGTTTTATCAAATTTAGTTGAATTTCTGAAGCAAATTATTATTTCCAATCTGTTTTATATACATTTTGGTAGTAAATATTTATTACTGAATGTGTTGAAATATCCGTACAACGTTTCTAAGTTTTATTTATTTATAGTTGATACACATTTGCAATTATACTATTTCGAAAAACTTTTTAATAATATTATGTAGTATTAATAAAAGCACCTACATAATTTGGAAATTGACTAATTTTAACACTCTGAATATTGTATAATAAGTAGCATATCGACATCAGAATGCAATCTAATTATACCTTCATTTCCGTATATAGTGTTTCTACTCCATCCACGTAACCAATTTACATTAATATAATTCTCGATCAGTTTGCAAATAATCTCTATAGTATTTCGAGCGAATAGTCATATATATTGATAATTAGATTAAGATCCAAATAAACGGATTTCCTGGCGCTGAAACATTACCGTGTCGATTATACGGGTGTTCGGGATATTCAGCATATTTTTGTAATACTGCTTGATAACAATTTGTATAATAAAGAATTGAATTGTATTGGCATCAATTAGAAAAGTGACCATATAAAGATACTATATGTCTTCTTTATTTTAGATAAAATAAACCATTTAGCATATCTCTCGTTGTAATTCAAGTTTCAATGGACAAATGTGTAATTAAACTGAAATTTATTTATTCCGAAAGTTACGACATAAAATATCATGATTTTGTTACATTAATCAAAATATTATTAACACATAATAATTTATTTTTATTAATTATTTAAGTTTCTGTGTACCCAGCTTGTTGAAATTTATATATTTTTTTAACTTCCCGAAGGAGAAGGAGTAATAAAGTTTGGAATAAAATTATTGAAGATTTTTGATTTTTTTTAATGGTAGATACCATTATAGTCTTATAGATCATACTAAAATATCACGGCCCTTCGACAAGTCGTTTAGTTTTGAAAATTCGTCAAAGTTTGCAAAAATTAGTAACGTTTTTTCAGCGATATATATCATGGTCTTATAGAACTTACTAAAATATTACGGCCTCACGACGAGTAGTTTAATTTTAAAAAAATCTTCAAAGTTTGAGTTTGAGAAAATGAATATTTTTTGACGTTTGTTAAAATTAAAATTAGACGATTTACTGAACATACTAAATCATTAAAATCGTACGGAAACTGGTTACTTATAAAAATCATTGATTTTTGAAAATTTGCTTTTAGAAAATACTCCGATTTAAGGTGTTCATTCGTTTTCAAATATGTGTAAACCTCTCGGAATACTTTTAATCAGTCATAAATGAATTTCAGTTTTTAATCAAATTACTTGATACGGTAGACAATTGAAAAATTTAGTTCTAATGAAAAGCTTTTTCAATCCATATTAAATCAAAATGAAAAATCAATACATTTCCATGAAATGAATTACATTATATATTGCAGTTTGATAACATTAAATCCGATATAGAAAATAAAGCATTGGAAAGTTTATAAATTAATCTAATACGCTATCCAATGTGATTTAAACATTAAATTTTAAAATAAAATATGTATTTATACATTAAAATTACAAAAAATTAAAACTGATTATATATAAAATTAGAGACACTGCTGTAAAATATTATTTTGCTGTAAAATATTATATTGCTGTTGATTAATATTATATGATTTGCCTTCTCGGTGCTATAGTAGTTAAATATCAACTAATATGTTAAAAAACTTCTTCATAAAATTAATTGAATCTTTTAATAACTACCTATACGTATAAATAATATTACAGTCAGTTTATAATATTGAAAAAGCTGTTTTTAATACTTGCATATAAATATAAATGGAATAGGTCGGTTTCTTTGAGATAATGTCTTTCGCTGAGCTAATATTTCCATAAAAAACGATACATTTTTACTTCTTTTTATTTTACATAATAAAAATTATGAATTAAGTATATTCAAGCTTAATTTTTTTGTAGTAATCTAGGTATAACAAGAGCATACATGTTGTTCGTATGAGATTTTCCTCGTTTTTCCCTATACTAAAACTACATCATCCATTCCATATAACGAAGAATCCTCGTGGGAAACGTAACTGTCCGCGTGAGATGATGCCGAATGCTTACTAATAACTCCGATAGAAAAAAAGATTTCTTCTCTTGATAACAAAAGCATCTTTTGATATATTCTAGAAAACATTGCCTGTTAATAGAAATATTTTGGAGTTTCGCATGTTTTTTATTCAGACGAGAAAAAAATATCGTGATTTGAAAAATAATCATGCAATTTGGGGTTTCATTGGTCTGGTGAATAATACACCTGCAAATAAGATTTTAATAATGGTGTTATTGTTTATTTTTATTATAATATTATCTTCGTTCTTTGTTAATTATTAACAATGAAATGATGTAATTTTTTTATTGAATGGAGTATAGTAAATAACAAAAGAGTAATTAATGTTTAATGACTTTGAAAGTATATATAGAGATTATATAGAGTAGAGACCGAGAGTATAATTGAGTGTTATTTGAGTTTATATAGAAATAAATGACTTACCTAAGAGCTAAACAGTATTTATAATTTTCATTTATTATTTAATTTTTATTTCTAGCATTGCATTTTTGGTGGGATTTTATTTTTTTGAGGTTTTGTATTATTTCATTATACACACTACGTCAATTGATGCACTTTATTACTTGATGTTTATTTTCAAGTTAAATATCTTCTATCTTTAAATTAAACTCTTCTGAAACATATATTCGACTACATGAAATTTGTTTTTCATAAGGGTAAATATACAGTGTCATTCGAATAAAGTTGTAGAGTCGTGCAATGCAGTAACACATTCAGAGGGCGATATAATTTCTGTTTGCATTGTAAATTAAATATCAGGTTGAAATGTTTTTTCCGTCAGAATTAAACCAAATTTTAACCAACTAAATTCACTGAAATAGTACAGAAAAAGAATTAAGCATTTAACTTTTTTGTACTTTTGATGTTGTGTAAAAAATAATTAAATTGATTAAAGTTAACTAATACAAAAACTTGCGTCGAAGGAAGCGTTCGCTTTCTTGTTTCACAGGTATTTTTATGACCATCTAAGTGTAAAATATGCGAAAAAATTCCAAAATAATGCAGTTTTGCGTTCTATATTCTATATACGATAATCTTTGTCCTTAATTGACCTCTTTGAATGGTATACAATTTTTTTTTTCAAAAATAATTAAAAAAATTATTTAGATTTTTAAGTTTTCCGTATTTTATCAACACTACCAAATCGCTTGCCAAAATTTTTACAATCTGACAATTTTTAAACCATTGCTTTATTATTTATTCATAAATTATCTGGCCGTCTAATTGCCTAGTTGAGCCTTTGTATCAAAAGAATTACCCTGATATTTCAATATTTTCATTATCTCAATTTTGGCATGCAATTTGTGATTTGTATGCATATTGAAACGCACAAAATTCTTATAATAAAAAGAACAAAAATATTTAAACTGTTTGTAAACAATTTCCAAATAATTAATGAAGCCTTAGATATATGAACAACACACTATAGAACACATTTATGACGAGTATTAGGTTTCAAAGTTGTCAGAGTCGTCGGAGTTGTTAAGTGGATATAATTTCTTTCTGAAGCGGAATCAAACCCTAATCCTAAAATGTAAACGACTAATAAATGTCTAATTCGTATATTTATCAAATTAACTACAACATTTTAATACAATCTATTCATAACAACAATTAACATATTTGAAAATATTATTTTTCAGGTAGTCGTGATGGGAAGTAGCACAACATCAGAGGCTACAATCAATACGAGTACAGATAGCGCCAGCACCCTCATCACAAATATGACAGCAACAACGGACGGTGAGGCAATTTTATCAATGAACTTGTGATTAATATCAAAACGATAAAATTATTAAATATTACTTTCTTATATTTCCATATATTGACAATTGGACATACTCATTGAATTGTGCAAATACTCATGTGTCTTTGGTTTCACAAGATGCATAGGTCTTTTTTTTGCGATTCAAAAGACATGAAGCATAGTAAATCAATTTGTAATCTTTTCGTTTATAATAAAATATAAATCAATTAATGCAAATGTGAAAAACTTGAAGATATTACTTATTTAAAAAAATATTTAACAAAATTTTGCTCTCATATAATTGTTCACATAATTATCCAATTACTTTAATAGAAATATAGTGTTGGTTTTTGCAGAAATATTCTCAAAAGTAAAAAATAGTGACATAAAGATAAGTGCTAATTGACCTAATATCGGCTTATTTGAGCAATTATGCATATAAAACACAATTGAAGAACCTATTTGCATGCCAATCACACATTGTTTTTATTAGATAAATACCTATGGGGACGACAGTTTTTGCAGAAATAATCTCAAAAGTATAAAATAGTAACATAAGGATCAGTGCTAATTGATCTAATTGCGGCTTATTTGAACAATTATGCACATAAATAACAAACACACATTGTTTTTATTAGATGAATAAAATTCTTATGCGGACGAAATTTTTAAAACAAATTGAAAATTTAAGACCCCCTAACGGAAATTTATTGTTGAAAATACTATATATTTGTGTTTGTGTACTATGGAACAGTACAATTGACTTTTAGTAATTATACAATTACAATTACACAATTGTACTTTGACTGGTAACACAATTGGTACAATTTGACTTTGAGTAATTAATTGAATGAACAAAATGATTACAGCATATAGCACGTATCAAACGAACAACTATCAAACTATATTCAATGAAATTCCCAGATAATTCCTAAATATAGAAATTTGCAATCTAGAAATCTAAAATTTCTAAAATTTCAAAAATTTGTCATCAATCTTTTTTTACCCAATAGACTAGGTAAAAAGGGACAGCTATTGGGCAAAGAGAAACAACGTGATATTTTGAAGAGATTTTATAAAATAATAGCTAATTTATTCTCCAATTCAATACACATAATCAATATGAAATAATTTTTTATGGGCACAACTTGTACAAGAGATTACTATGTATATAACCTTGATCTGGCATTGCGTTAATAATATTCATCTACGGAGTTCGAATAGTTGTTATTTAATTTATTTTTTGTAAAATTGCTTCATCTAACTTTATTTACTATTTTTTTATGGTTTAGATCTTTGTCAGTATAAAGAGTTAGTTGGTTCTTTTTACCCCGCACACATATAAACTTTTATAGAAATTATATTGAAAAGAAGTTGATTTGAACTCAAAAATGGCAATACATCTTATTAAACAATTCAATAACGTATACTTAAAAATTACATTCAGGTGTCATGATCTAAATAAATCGGCCCAAAATCGAAAAAAACTACTAACGAAACAAAATGCTTTTGATATGAATATTGAAACCCGGCCGTTTATTTTCTGATAGCGACATTGTAAGATGCTGGCTTGTTACACATCTTATGCATTCTGCTTCAAAATAGTATCGTTAAACAATTCTGTACTTTTACCTTTTTTTATCCGCGGATCATTGGCCCCACTTTATTTAGATCATGACACCTGAATGTAATTTTTAAGTATACGTTATTTAATTGTTTAATAAGATGTATTGCCATTTTTGAGTTCGATTCAACCCCTTTTCAATATAATTTCTATAAAAGTATATATGTATGCGGGGTAAAAAGAACCAATATACTGACAAAGATCTAAACCATAAAAAAATAGTAAATAAAGTTAGATGAAGCAATTTTACGAAAAATAAATTAAATAACAACTATTCGAACTCCGTAGAGGAATATTATTAACGCAATGCCAGATCAAGGTTATATACAGAGTAATCTCTTGTACAAATTGTGCGCATAAAAAATTATTTTACATTGGTTATGTGCATTGAGTCCGCACTCCGCTATCCCAAAAAGTTAATATAGACTTATTGAGAAAAATTATTGTTGATCAAAAATGTTATATATTAGGGTTTCAGTAAAACATAAAATAAATAATGTAAATATTAGCAAAATCAACATGATAACAACAATTTGAGAAAGTAAACAAAATCACTTAAAGTTACTTCCATGTTGTATTAGTGGATTGTTATTTTTATTCTCAACTTTAAAGTATTATTATTTGATCCACAGGAGGTGACAGTCTTGATCTAATCGGTGGTCTTCCAATGGACAACAACGCATCATCAACAACACCATCATCAACAACATCCGTTGCTAGTACGACTGTTTACACTCAGAGTTGTGCAAACGGCAACGCGGTCATAGGCAGCGGTTCGTTAGAAGAGCCAACTGAAACCTTGTTAGACTCGGCAATACCGCCGACGCCCGCTACCGCATTGCCCGCAGCGATTCATGCGAAGCCTCGATCACCGCCGGCGAAAACAAGGTCACCGCCGGCGATGCAAACCGCGCAAACACCCGCCACGCGCTTCCCGTTTGATATTATTGTACCTCCGAATGAACAACACACGCCGAGAGGAATGGAGATGAAAGAGGTATGGATTGCTTCGTTCCATTGTATAATTACTCTTCATATGCTTTACGATAAAATAATAAAGTTTATGAGTTGGTCAAGGATTTTCTCTGTATTTTTTTAACCTATGTAAACATAGGATGACTATAGTAAGAAAACTTTATCTTTTCGGTTTATTGTTTTATAAAGCTATATCAATACGATATAAAATATAGTTTTTTTTATCCGGCTCAGTTATACGGATTCGCTATTATTTCACTACCAACCGCGACCAATTTATATGTATGTACATACTTACAAGTCAAATTTTTGCATGATTAATGCAGCAGTTTAGTAATGTGTAATGTAATCCAAGAACATGTTGTTAAATATTTGCCTTCAGCGATGGAGGTAATTTTGGTATTTTGGTATTTTAAAACACAACACAAGTTATACAGAATATAGATATTATTATACAGAACTTCATTAAAGGTTATTATAAGGTTATGTGTTTCTTTTGGAGTCCAGAGAGAGAGTGTGATATTGTCATAAACATAGAGGTCCTGTGTCTAGCCGGAAATATAGAGTCCATAGAATGTAGAGTGGAACTCGAGAGATGTAGAGTTCATAGAGTAATAAATGTGATAGTAGTATGCACTGGTATACACATAGAGGCATAATGTGACGCTAAATAGGTAAGAGTGTCGGCGCATAACAATGTGTATGTAGGGTAGGGCGGGGCTAGTTGAGCAAATTTTTACTTGAACGGATGTAGCTCCTCATTGAAAAGTTTTAATAAATTGCTATACGGCTTAATGGATTTGTTGTTTATCGCTTAACAAAAGTGTTAATACTATTTTTTGGTAATAAGTAAAATTTAAAAGCTACAGCTGTTTAAATGCAAAAAGTCAAGTATGCTCAATGTACCCCATAGGTGGGGTAAGTTGAGCACTAAGAAAGTATAATGAAATCATAGGTTTAATGTCGATTAATGATGAAATAAAATAAGTTTTTAATAACCAGTTCTATATTTATAGTCTTTTTTGACAGAGAAAACAAAACTTATAGTAATTTGCTTTGAATAATTAACGAAAAGTAGAATCAACAAAAGAATATCGTATCTTAGAAATTATTTTACCATTCTATTTAGTATTTTTGTTTAAAATCATTATTTCTTTATATTATTACTCATAGACTTAGTTTAAATCTTAAAAATAATAATTAATTTCTGGAAGTTAATAGTAATTGTCTTAGTGACAGAACAAGTTTAGCAACTATGCTCAACTAACCCCAACTCGGAATTTCAAAATAAAAGTGAGTTTATAAAAAAACCGTGAGAATTATACCCAGAATCTCTGTCCATATTAAAAGTACTATAATCATATTTAAGAACAACATTTACCTTATTAAAAATAAATAACATTTGACTAAACCAGACAAAAACTCGTGATGAATGACTTTTTTACTTTTTGGTCTCAAAATAAACAAAACGCCCCTGAGCCTCAATCATTTGTCCAGCGGCCACTAGCGATCGCGGATGTTTATTTCTCCCAAACTTCTATCTTTCCGCCATATAATGCCTAAACGGACGGTGAATAGTTTTCGAGATATTTCGATTGCTCAACTTGCCCCTATGCTCAACTAGCCCCGCTCTACCCTACATACATATGGAAGCGTTATTTTCTTAATAAACATTGACTTTTGTTGATATTTATGCATGCATTTATTATATTTAACAAATACACATTGTTCTTCAATTCTCTATTATCCGGATTTTTAATTATCCGAATGCCTATCGACAACAATTAATGGTTGCTAAGGTTAATCGAATTTCTACTACATGTGATAAGCAATATCTTCAGTTATCATTTTTCATATTAAAATTGGTTTATCATAGGTTTAGTACCAAATCGATCTTTATTCTTACAATAAAGGTCAAACCAGGTAAAAATTAGATAACATTAAAGCGTCAACAAGTATACATTAAAATATTAGCACTCAATTATGTAAGAAACAATTTAAAACAAAATAAATAATTCTTAAAAAGCTTTAGGTTTTACATACCAGAAGAGATCCAATAACGAATATGTCTTCATTTTGTGGCAGCGGTGGGATAAGGAAGAAATATTAATAATTGGATCTCTTTTGATATGTAAAAACAAACACCTTTTCTAGATTTATTGTTTTTACTTTAACTTACAATTTACATGGTTAAGTGTTAAGATTTTAGTCTGTGCTTGTTGTGATTCTTTTTACCTGATTAGACTCATATTGTAAGAATAAGGGTCAATTTGTTAAAGTTTTATGTTAATGTTGTATTTGGTACTAAACTTACAAACTTGAAATTAAAAACTTATTTTAATATAGTATCTGATAACTTAAGATATCGCTTAATGCATAATATTTCTCAACAATATATAATAATATTAGATATTACTATGAGACATCATATCTTTAATGAATATAGAAGATCTCAGTATACCGAATTATTATATTTTGGGCATTTATTGGCCTGACTAAGCTCAGTGATATAAACTTTAAGCCAAATTCCTTGAAAATTTCTTAAAAATCTTAAGTTTTACATTTTTTGAAAATTTTGAAATTACTTTTTTGAGAATTTTGACTTTGAACTGAGACTTTTCTAAATAATATAAAATTTCTTTTAATATACCGGAATTTTTGAAAAAAAATGTATTTTTTTCAAGCAATCGCGTAAGTGCCGCACTATATATCTTAGTACGGAAACCATAAAAATGTAAACAAAACTGTATTTATTATTAAAATCTTTATAACGATCTAATAATTTAATAATTTCATTTGATGTCTAATGATAATTTTCGAACGCCTAACAGCATTTTTTTGTTCTTTATTTTTTTTATCTACCTCTTTGAAAACCTAATCAGTCTTCATTTTGCCAATTTTTACATAAAATGTTTTTCAAATCAATCAAATCGGTTGTTCTGTGTTCTCGAAATTGTCGAAAAATTGTAACCGCACACATGTATACACATATACATCCATTTTGTCTCAGGTATCCCAAAATGTTCAGAAACTTCTAAAAAGTAAAAATATATAAAAATTTTCATTTTCGATTTTTTTCCATAACTTGCTCTATGGAAAGTTGATTGAGAGTAACAATACTTGCAATAACAATAACAATATTAAACAATAGATTCTCAAATTTTTATTATCTCTTTTTTCTTTCATACGCAATTTTTAACCAAACGGCTTGAAATTAACGGGAATATATCTTTTTTTTAAAAAAAAAAAATTCAATTAAAAAGTCACTAACCTTTTAATTTTATTTATTACTTAAATAAATTGCTAATATACACATGGTGTCACAGAAGTCAAAGTCAAGCCGATACGGGGTGACAGTATTGATCACACTATTATGAAAAAAAAGTTAATTATGAGGATTTTAGAGCAACCCAGAGCTTTGGTGAAAATGTTTTTATTATAAAGGTTTCACTGTTTTACAATCCCGATTTGCGTAATTTTGATTGTACTTGCCAACACAATTTAATAAAAAAATTTTAAAGAGGGCTTTTCAAAGTCGAGCTATTTTAAAAATTTTAAATTCATACAAATAGTCTTAATTCTTGAAACGTGGGGCAATTGTGTTTACGATTATAGATACAAAGCTTAAATAAATAAAAACAATAAAAATTAACCAAAATAACTAAACCAATATAACTTCCAAAGTACGTAGGATATAATTTGTTTCCAATTTTTTCATGACACTTATGATCACTTCGGTTCTGCTTGAAGTTTACTTCTAGAACACCTTGTATGTATCACTCAATGGAATTTTATTATAATTTATTCATTGATTATTATTTATTAAAATGACAACTAATTACTGATAATAAACAATATGACAATAACATTCGTAATTTAAATTTAAATGATTTTATTGGTATACTGATTTGTAAGGCTTGATATATTCACTAATTCTCTAAAAATGTTTCTGCTATTTAATCAAACAACATTTAGCTTTATTACATATGAGTTTGTGTGTAATTGGCAAAAAATATTTTACTAGTTCAAGGTTTCAGTACTTTGCGCGAAACGAACCGGGTTAAAAAAACATATTTTGGTTGAAATGCAGAGCAAAAATATAGTTTTGCATATAATTTTTTTGTTAAAACTGTGAAGTTACAAATAACTTAGAAATATGTGAGAATCAATTAGTCAAAACGGAAATAGACTGGCCTCAATTCATAGTATATTATATATTTTTTGGAACCGTTGAAGAAAAACGTTGGTTATTATAGGGAAATGGAGGATATACTTTATTTTCGATTCGCCAATAACGTTTTAGGTTTTGTTTTAACTATAAATTCCGATACCGAAGTAAATCTGATAATCTTGTTAGTTGATATTCAAATAAATGAAGAATAAATTTTTCTGACTCAATTTGCTTCACTGCCAATTCGAATTTTATTTATAATTTGATTTTTGAAGTGAAACTTCTTTAGGCGCGACTTGGGAGTAAATCTGTACAAATGCAACAGAAATAGGGTGACATGTGAATAGAGATCTGTCGTTGTATGCAAACCGGCCTCAACAAAGAAATCGGCACAAGCAGTCAATGAATGTATGTTAATTTTAATTGCATGAGGTTCTTCAAACACAATTACATGATGAGTGAAATTATGAAAACAATATTTCTTTAGGCGTTGTTTACAATAATCTACTGTGTGAACGAATATTATAGAATTTATTAATCAGCACTGACTTTATTTCTCAAATAAAGGTTCATTTCTAAATGCTAATTACAATGACAAACCGATCATGTCATATTTGAAGTATGACTTTAATTACATTATAGTTTTTAAATATTATACATATTTTTAATGCTATTATCTTATATATAAAATTCTTCTGTAACAATGTAAGTTTCATTAATCCTCCTAAACTATAATTCGGATTTTCATGAATCTTCCTGAAGTTTGTTCTGGAAATTTTCTAGAATGTTTTGATTTATAGAAATATAGTTAGATTGTAGAAATAAGTGGAAAAAATTACAAAAAACCGCTTATCATTGTTTGACCTTTAAAATATTTAAGACATGGTTTGACATTAAAAACAAATGACAACTGTCATTTGCCAAACACTTCTATTCACTTATAGGCTAAGACAATATTAAAATATAATAAATTCATGATTAAAAATAAAGAAAATGTAATGTCTACATTATTATTGTCAAAAAGCAGCTAAGATGTGCCATAATTAAAATAATATAAGATGCAAATAATATAATATGCGTCTGACAGTCTGCGCATGCGACTCACGCGTTTGCTTTTGCTTGCAATAATTTTGTTTGCGCACTTTGCGAACAGATTCGCCGTACGAATTCGTGCAAAGGAGACGAGCCATAAGTGAGTGCGCTCAAAAATATTCAATTTGCGGTCGTTTTGCCTTACTATACTAAGTCACAATACAAAAAAAATTACTTATTCACAAAATTATTTAGAAGTTTTATTGTGTCAAAAATTCATATGGTTGGCATTTTGTACGGAATATTTACTTAATGGAGCGCTTTGGGTCTGAACTTTTTTTTACTGTTTTCCAAATCGTTTGGAATTTTGGAATTAGGCTCATCTTACTCTCAAGTTCAAAAGTGAAAACAATTTAGACTCCTTTGCACTATCCGGAGGGATGCCATTTCTTTTCAGTGGTGTAATAACGTTGGGTGTGAATAAAAGAACTAATTATAAGAGAAAAATGTTTAATAATGTTTTTCGAAAAAGCAAATACTTTTCAAGTTACTGGCTACTGAAAATTTGTTTTTTTTTTGCGTTTTTCATCGTTTTTTGCTAATATCTTCAAAAATATACATTTTAACGAAAATTATGTAATGAACAAAATTATATCAATAAAAATCCTAATAAATCGCTATTTTACAGTGTTCTAGGAACAATATTAGGTTAATTATAAAAATGGGTTTTTATAGTTCTCCAAATAAGCTTTAAAAGAAGTACTCTCTAAAATGAGTGAGCTATCATGCAATTAAAAGACGCATACAAGGTTTTTTTTTTTCATTTAAATCAAATAATTTATGAGTGCCATTTCCACCAAAATTAAAAATAATCGTTTTCCAACTTATGATTTCATAAAAAAATCCATTAAAAAAAAACAATTTCTCATTATAATATCTCTGAAAGAATACGTATACAAGTATATATATGAAAATTCAAGGTATTTTTCAGACTAATTATTGCTTTTTATTATTTTTTGTTACACAAATATTGATAGAGTTCTAATTGTTTAAAGAGTGCGCGGCTGTCCAACCGGAGTGTCTTTCGAGCCCTTTAACCCTTCGCCGTTTCAAAATAAGAGAAGTTACGGTAAAATTTATGATAGAGAAAGTTGTAGCTCATTTAATCACCTTTAAAATAGTATATTACAAGTTATGATAAAATCAAAATTAAAAGAGTTATAATCCAATTAATGCGGGGAGTAGTGACAAAATGCAAAATGTTTTCACTTCTGAACTTTAGATTAAGATTATCTGGGCATAAGATTTTTTTCTTCTCCATTTACTGCAATAATTTTGTTGATAGTAGGTTGAATAGAGCACATGTGAACAAAATTTGACAAATTAATTCACTTCAAATACGAACTTAAGTAATAATGTATATTGAATTATTAGTGTAAAAAATGCAATTTAGATATTAAAATACTAAAAGCCAGTTAAAATATGGTACGAAATTATAAAAATTGTAGGCAACATTATTGAAGCAATTATTTAGGGTAGAAAAATCCAAGGTGATATTGTACCTTGACCGCATGCTATATATTAATTCTTTCTGAATTTGTTATACTTTTTAAAAGATTTCAATTTTCAACACGTGTATCTATGCTATGACAATAAATACATGGTGATAAATTTGGAAAATCAATGTTTTAGCCGTGAATAAACAAAAAAATCATTCATTTAAACATCCACATCTACAGGTATGTCTAAAAATATTGTATAACCCTTAAATTCAATAAAATAAATTGAGCTATTGGAAATAAATTTGTTCTATAAATAGCAGTGTATAATTTTTAATATATAATTTTATTGAACATATTTTAATATTTGTTAAAGGGATGATTAAAGTGTTAACGTTAAATGTTAAAGTGGGAATTGAGAATAATCATTTTATTTGAAACAGTACTACATTTAACATCACTCATATATTGGTGTAAATAGTAACTCGAAAAACAATACTGATTATTTTTAACTGAACGGTATAAATATTAGTATAGTATATTAAAAAAACGTAGAGGTGGGTACAGGGCAACGTCTGTCGGGTCATCTAGTAAATATATAAATTATATTTTATCATTATATAAATATGTATAATGGTTGACACTAATAAATGTGTTCATCAACGAGTATTACCATATTACTAATAAACATTATTCAAAATTGTTATATGATTTATTTATTTTTAACTTAAAGGCCATCTCGTACAATAGCATTTATGTTTTACTTCAATCGCGTGTGAATTTCAGGCGCACTCTTTTTTATTTTTCTTGATACAAGCTTTTAACAGTAAAATAATAGAAATTATTAAGACTAATATGTATAAAAATAGAATCAAAATAGTGTTTACCCAATTGTATACTCTTTTCGTAAGTTGATTGAGATTGATATATAAAAATAATTTTAGTCACTTTAGTACAATTGGAATTTCCAATTTACTTTGTAATTGTACGTTTTATAATGATAGTCATTCATTGAACTTCTATCATCGACCAATCGTTAATTTTAGAGTAGTATCTTCAGAAACGCGAACGATTCAACTGAAACTATCCGCTTCCTCCTTGTAACCTTAAATCTAATCAACGCAAATGGCACTATCATCTAATGCGTTCTACTGGCACGATTTCGGTGAATCAAGAATGTTTTGGTTAAATGTATTCGAGACACTTTGATTAATAGCTCAACTTGAACTACAAAATGTAGGCCGTTTCCGAAACTGGAGCGGTGCGAGGAAATTAGCTTCCTATCAGATATGCAAATCGTCCGTGTTTTAGGCTTCGAATTTAGAATATGAAATTACAAAGCGCGATGAGCTCAGTCGTGCCAATAAACGCCTGAAATGAAGTATTATTATTCGGTGTACAAAGATAATCTGTATTTATTAAAGATAAGGTGTCTTGTAATACCTCGTTATATTAATAGTATTTCCTTTTGTACGAAGAAGGAGTCGTTAAAGGAAAACGTGTGAAAATATATTTATTGGATTCCAAATTTCTATAGTTTTTAAAAGATCTAAAATGTGCATAACTGCCTTCAAACGATGTGAGTTATTTTATTTGAATAGTATTCACTTGCATTTTGTAGCATTAGACAGATTCCTTGTAACTCAAAGTAAACTGCAAATAATAGAATTTCACACATAAAAGCACTATGTATTGATGAACTACATAAGAAATTGTTATTGGTATAGATTTATCTGGACTCATATATATCGATAGCACTTAATCACAATATCACAATCTCGATCAAAAAGTTGGTACTATTATAATGGGTTTTATTTTGAATGTTATAAAGAAGAAATATAAAATGATCTATAATTCTATGCAATATATAGATCTAGATTTATATATATATATATATATATATATATATATATATATATCGCAAAAAAATCGAGAATGCAAATTTTGACATTTCTTTAATTTATAGATTGCTAAACATTTTGGCATACCTTAGAAAAAATTGATGTACGTTATTGCGTGGGTATATATGTGTGTGTATGTATGTGCGAATACAAACTTGCACCGAGATTACGGATCAACCGATTTGAATGATTCGATAAACATTTGATTTCCATTGATAGGGAGACGTGCTGATTAGTTTATGGCAAAGGCAGGATCAGCAGATTCGAAGATACGAAGCAAAATGTGTCACTAATGGCCATTCAGTTTTTTGATAGAACGGAGCGCCCGATTCGAATGATTTGGAAAACATTTTACTTGTATTGACAAAATGAACTCGCAAATTTTTGGCAAGGTGGTAGGACTAGTCTTTTCGGAAGTACAATGGAAGATGTGCTATTTTGCTGTTAAAAATAATTATTAGACATATAAAAATCAAACTAGTGGTGTATGGCCTCGTGTCGTAAGGCAAATTGCTGGAACTTTCCGTGCCGTAACGAAATGTTTGAGTAATACTGAATGTTTTCAAATAGATTATTATTAATATTGTAACATTGTCTAATATTTATAAGAATTATATAAACTGAATTGCAAAGTTACAATTATATATTTCAAGTATATAAGTGAGCTTTATAACTTTAGCAAGAATTAAGTTCAAATTATGAATATTTTCGATATACAAAAAAAAATGAAAAAAATTAAATAAGTATTGTTTTTTTTTTCAAAAGCAATTGTTTTGCCAATACAAGTAGAAAGTTTTCTGAAGCATTAAAATTGGATACTTAGTACTGTCAAAAACTGCATTTTTTTGTATATTTAGCTCCGTATCTACAAAACGACTTAACTTGCATTTGCCAAAAACTAATCAGCACATTTACCTATCAATAGAAATGAAATATTTTTTGAACCATTGAAATTCGTTGATCCGTGCGCCCGGAAACGTGGACAAAATTTGTATCCATACATACACACACACACACAACACGTTTTGTGCATAGCTTTTTGAGAAGAAATTTGATTTGAATGGAATCATTACTGAAAACTGTTTTAAATATATGGCTGTTTATAAATCTTGTCAGTTGAGAACAACCGCACGCTTATTTAGTTATTTATACATTATTGAATGTATTTGTTCTCATACAGGACTTGATCATAACTCTCCAAGTTTACACAAATATTATTGTCATAAATAGAAAGAATATTGTAATGTAATAAATAGTAAGAATTGTTATGAACTAAAAATATACTGTTATCTATACAATATAATTTTTCAATATTATATTGATGGTTTTTCTCGTGAATCTATTATTATATTTTATTGTGACAGCAGCACGATTTAAAAATATTCAATATTATTTTTCATTTTAATATTATAATTATACGTATTTTATTTATTCCAGGTGTTCAGCCCGCCGATAACCATGCGCAAAAATAATCAGCACACCGCGTTTCCATTCGATACACCCGATGTCCAACGACACGCCCAGTTTACATTCGAAAGCGCCATAAAGACCCAGCAACAACAATGTAACCAATACAACAAAAAGGAACACGGTCATCAACATCATCACCATCACCATCATCGACAAAATGGCGCACCATCTCCAAATCTAATCAAAGACCACCACCAAATCATGACTAACCACGATCTGATAACTCACCATCACAACCAGTCTCGGCCAAATGGAACAATGTCTCCTAACCAAACCTATCACCACAACCAGTATTTCCAACCACCATGGTGAAACGCAAACTCCCCAACCTCACAGGACGCCATCGAAGCGTCGAAGTAAGCGTGCACCAATGTTGCCAGATCTTCGAGTGGACTTCTTCAAAGAGCGGGAGATCCTGGACGCGTGCCAAACCGTTCCTGCGACCAACGGAGGCAAAACACCGCCGCAAGATCAGTCTCGCGTACATCATCGCTTAGACGGCATCAATGTTACCGCGAATCCTTTAGACGTTAATCATCATAATTCTAATACCAGTGCCAATTTACCTAGAAAGTCACCTTCGGCTACTATTGTTGTGCAGCAAGCCAGCCTCAGTTTGGATTACGGACAGGTGGCAACTGTACTTTTGAAAAACGAAAGCGATTTTGTGTCGAATGTGTCGTGCGTGGTGCAACAGCCAAATCAACAAAAGGAAAGTGGAGGAAGTCAGGACGAGAAGTCCAGAAACTGTAAACGCAGGGAGGAAAATATGAAGCAACTGTTGGAAGTTGCGAGTGCGCTGACTGTTGAAGAACTTAGAGATTTCGAAATGAGGTATGTAACTTATTATTTATTTTGTTGGTGAGGAATCTAGCAAGTAATTTTATTTGTAACACGTTAAGGACCTCTTGCCCACCGGTGACTCGGCAAAAGCATTTGTTCGGGCTGGGTGATCACATGTGGGGTCTTTGATTGAATTAAATGTTGGGGATAAATAATGTGTTCAAAACGTTTACATTAAAAGTTTACATTGCATATTTGCAAATGATACACGCAATTAACATATATTTTGATAATCTAACATAAAACTAAATTATTTATACTTCAAACAGTCCTTCTTCATAATTATTTATTGAGTATTTGTTAAATGCAATCACACATTCTATAATATATTTATTCTACATATAATATTTTTATTTTGCTTCTTACAAACATTTCAAAATTACTCTATTATTCATTGATTCAATTGACTTCACTCAATAACTCGAAAAAAAATTTTCACCAGTTAATTACAAGAAATTGTGACAGCAAATCTTTACCAAAAACTAATCAGGTTAATCCCCAACCAATATATTTCGAACGCTTTTAGAAATCTTAAAATCGATTTGGAATTGTCGGTTAAAACGTGGACAATATTTTTCACTTTTTTGCAATTTATAAAGAAACGGCTCAGCCGATCTTCGCGCAAATCTGACAAACAATAGTACTCATGGAGATGCATCGAATGGCTTAGAAATATTTAAAATCGGTCCAACCGTTTTTGGGAAAACGTCGATTTAAGGTACAAAAAGTGTTCACACACACATATTTTTTCCAAATTTGGTCTTATTCGATTCAGAATGCATGAAATTATCAAATCGGATTTTTGTATGAAAACATAAACTTCTCCTTCGGGAATTAAAAATAAAATCATGAAAATTTTCAATCGGTATTTTTTACGATGGTATATATAAAATCAATAAAAATTACCCTGGTTGTAATAATAAAATACAGCCATATTTAATATCAGCTAACAATTTTTATAAACAATTTATATTAATAAAAAATCACAAAATATTTTTATGAAAAAGCATATCAATTTACATATAAATAAAATAAATATTTGAATACATATTATATCGACCGGCGCTTATTGATTGAATCAAAAATCGAATCACATTGTAAAAATAAACAAACTGTATGTTCGTTTAAATATTATGACGGTAAAAAGTTCAATGTTGAAAATTTACAACTGTGCTAAAATAACCGCGACAAAGTTATTGTTAGAATAATAATCAACTGGAAATATACCATGCGTGATTTTATATGAATTATCGTTGTGTTCTCGATTTTTCAGCAAATCGTTTCATTTGTTTATTTTCGAAATTTCTGCACGACGTGCGAAGAAAGGCTACTTTATCGTGAACACAAATTCTTGCAAAAATGTTCAATTTTCTCATATTTACCCTTGAACAATTATATCATACACTTGATGCTTGATGTTTATATGTGCAAATTGGCCTCTCTCGGGTAATGTCAGATAAAAATAGAATTCGTATTCTATTAAAAGAATTCATCTAAACAATGGATTTATTTATAACTCGATTGTATTTTATTTCGATATTTTGTTCGACATTATGGTTTCGTTATTGTAATAGCTTCTTTACAGATTCACTGAAAAGCAATTATGAATGCCAACTAAAGTATTTTTATATTTTTGAAATCTATTTTCTCAATATTTATACGAGCATATATCTTATATATAAAATTCTTCTGTAATGATGTATAAAAGAATACTTTTTCTAAACGATTATTTTAATAAATCTTTCTGAAGTTTGTTAAGAGAATTTTTTAGGGTTGTTTGAATTATAGAAATATAGTTAGATTGTAGAAATAAATGGAAAAAACACAAAAAACCGCCTATCATTGTTCTACATTCAAAATATTTTGATACATAAGAACTGTCATCTGCCAAAAATGTCGATTTATTTGAAATTTGAATTTAGTTTAAGCGAACCTATATAATATCCATATTCATAATTATGAATAAAAAAAATGTAACATCAACAATATTATTGCCGAGAACCAGCTGATTGAAAAAAATATTTAAAATTTTGTTTCATGTGTCAAAAATTCATTCGTTTCATCATGATCTTAGATTGAACAGTGCCTTATGAACTAGATTTTACAAATTAATTCGATTAAGATTTCAATTAAAGTAATAATGTTTATTAAATTATTAGTAAGAAAAATGTAATGTATAAATTGTAATTACCAAAAGGCAACTAATATAGGGTGCGCGATTTTAGAAATTATTTAAAAATTAATTAGGTAACGTATACTTAAAAGATATGTTAAGGTCTCGTAAACTAAATAACAGTGCTCACCACCAAAAAGCTAACGACGATAGAAAATACTTTTCTATGGATTTTCAAACATTGCCGTTTATTTTCCGATAACATCGTAAAACTTAAGGCAATGGTTGGTTACACAGCTTTTTTCCTCTACTTTCAAATATTGTTGTTAAAAAAATTCCTAACTTGTTTTTGAGATATCGACCTATTCACTTGCGGACCTTCAAGCTTCCCCTCTCTACCCTATCATTATTTAATCAAAAATATTTGAAACATATTTCTCAAATAAATATTACAATATTCCAATGTGATGGAAAAGTACTAACATGTTCATTCTAATTTGTTTACGAGTTGTTATTAAATTCGAACACATAAATTTATATATATTTATCATAAAATCGACCAGTAATTGCTTTCACTCTACATTACGCCAATTATTAGTGTTCTAGGACGATGAAGGTTAAGTGAATCACTTACATTTATTTTAAGTGGGAAATATTATTTTAGAAAATGATAATAATACTATTAGTCATGGATTAAATTATTGTTTATTTGAGAACAATATAATTATTGTTATTTATGTAAAAACTTAAATTAAAAATGCTAAGTTCAATATAAATATAGGTACAAACAACTAAATGACTTTATTCAGTAAAACTCCCACCTACTTCATCATTTTAGAAGTATGTTATTTTTGCTGTTTTCAAAAACTTGGGACATGGTTCCATTTATCCCAGATGGAATAAAATAAGACGTAAAATTTTATAATGTAGGTATTTATTTGATTCATTTAGCATTATACTTGTCACTAGTTTTCACCATAGCAATTTTTATTTCAATTGCATTTAAACGATTTGGATTATTTTTAGAATTGTGTACCGAAATAATCCTTTTATTTTCGTTTCGATTTCTATCTATCTTATGGGATTCTAAAAATAAATAACGCATTAGTTTAGGAAATTGAATCTATATATTGCTTGTGTCGATCTGATTTAGATATTTCATATTGCCTGTTAGAATATTACTTTAATTTTCACTAGAAATATATATTTGTTTAATTCAAATATACTTTTGTTTAACTTGGTTAAAATAATTTTGATACTGTTTTAATATTTGTTCATCATATTGAAGATAATGTAATATCAAATATTGGTAATTTGGAAAATTTTGAAAATAATTTTTAGTACCAATAAATGAGAACTTCAGATTTTTTTGTTATATACACCTTCCATAAATACGAGAAAATTAGGAAGTAAGAACTGAAATTTCACCAAATATAGGATTTTTTACTATCAGCTAAGCTATCATATCAAATACATAAAATTTGTGCATCCATATTTTTTTGGCAAAAAATTATATTACTAACGTATATTGAACTAGTTTCACCATTATATTTAAAAATACTGAAAATAAAACATTTTCTTATAAAAAATCTAATATTTTTATAAAAAATTAGATTAATTTATTCCGGAAGAAAAGTTAAATTATTAAACGTGTCATTTCAATTTTTCTTCAATAAAAATTACTTTTTTCTTTGTTTCAAAGTGGCGAACTTTTGATCACTTGATTAACTTTACGTTTACAATACTTTATTCAGCAAGGATTTTAGATTAATATTCAATTAGTGATAAATTTAAAATTTTCAAATACACCTTAAATATTTTGCAATACAAAATGTAGACAAATTATTTCACTCTCTGATACTATGAATTTGTATCAAAAGGTTATATGCAATGGCGTACTAGAGCTTTGGTCATCCAAAAAGCGTTTGATATAAGAGTTTTGAATTTTATTATGTCTTAGGAATTGGAATAAAATGCAGGTGAATGTGGAGAAAAAGTATGATACCGTAATTTTAATGAAATATATTATTTTATTTATTAGTATCATATGTTAATAATATTTAAATGGCCCAGAACCTCATTAGAAATGAAAACACATTTGAAGCTATCAAATAGTACAGTTCAGTTAACTTATCATTTAACAACCTTAACTAGAAGCAATTGTATTGTTTGATATTACTCAACAAAATTAATTTATAAGAACTTTGTTAAAAACGATACGACAAATTCGCTTAAGTGCAATACTTAAAAGAAATAATAAGTTAGTCAGAGAAATAATCATATAATAAAATTCAAAAATATATAAAATAAAATTAAATTTATTGTAGTTTGCTATTGTTAAAATTTAGTAAATTAGTTTTACGTGTTTCATTTATGTTATTATAGATTATACCTGATATATTTTATTATTTGCACTCGCGTTCACTATCTAACTGAATGATAATTTAATTATTGCGTGAGTGTTGTCATCAAGTCTTTTCCATTATTTTAGGACAATGATATTACATCAAGATATGAAAACATTAATACCGTTATATGCACAGTCACTTCCAAGCAATCAATTTTCCTTTGAATTCGACTTTAGATAATTAAATTAATAAGAATCATTAGTTGTAATTAGAATCATTAGTATCACCTACACGAACCAGAAACAATGATATTATCAAATTGCTTATATTTCCTGAATCGTATATCACCTAGAATATTCAAATTTACAATATGCATGTAATTTGGTTTGCGTATTTAATGAATAACAAAAATTATTTAATTTTTAGTCATTTATTTTTTATCAAATATCTATATGATTAATCATGTGCAAATTATATATAAAGTAGTTGGTATTGGTATTTTGCCTTGGGACAAGTTACATAAACTGCTC